TATGTATGTATGTATGTATGTATGTATGTATGTATGTATGTATGTATATTTGTTTTCTTAAGTTTTCGCGGGTACTTACATGTATGGTATTTAGCTTTGTTCGGGTATTTTCCCACGTCATTGTAGTTGTGCTTTTAAAGTTGTAGCAACGTTTCGACAGAATCTCATCTGCCATCATCAGGCTTCTGTATTGTGTTCGTCTGTGAGTCAGACTTTCACAGCCATTTCAGTTTTAAATTTGGGGCTAGCCTACTGCTGTGCCAGAATGGTTTTTTCTTCATCCTGATTGGTTGGGAGTCTTGGTCTGTGTTTATTGGTCTTGGAGTTTGCTGTGTTCTGCTTGATAGGTGTTTCTAATATCTTCTGTCTGTTTTGTGGCTCTTTTTGTGTCTTGATTGGCTGGCAACATTGTGTTCCTGTATTGGAGGCTTTTAGTGCAGTTTGGCTCCGAGTAAATGGACGGCTATCATTTGTTAGGAAGCTAGGTTTCATCTGAGTGCCTGGTTGGGGTGTGTTTGAGCTGGAGGTATCAGGGGGGATCTGTTTGTGCCCAGGTGTTTGCCTGGCTAGTGGTGTGGAGATTTTTTCTCTAGCTCAAGCTGCACTAAAAGCCTCCAATACAGTAATTGAAGATTAAAATATATGTTCCAGTAAAAGTGCTAATTGTTAAAGTGCCATTGCATTTTCTGAATAGACTTCTTTCAATCCACATTAATAGATTATTTACCTATTTTTGAATCATTGCTGTTGTTCTTTGAAATTTGGAAGAATCAAGATATTAATATCGAGTACTCTGTGGGGATACCTTTCTCTAGAGCAATTGGTCCCTGAAACAAATTAGGTTCCTTCCTGAAACTTGTACAATTTATCTCTTCCACATCACCATTGAGTTTGACAGGAATGTTAGCAATTATTTAATTGCAATTTTTAATTATAACCAGTAATTAATTTGCATTATTGAATATTACCATATATTACTATTTTATTTTAATCTTATATCAGCTAGGGCTTTTACTTCTGTATGTTACTTAATCAATAGACAGAAGTGGGTTATAATTCCTATATAAAAGCTGGGATCCTACTGGTATATCAATGGGGGTGGAATTCAATTGCTGTTGAACAACTGGTTCAGCGAGCGTAGTGTTTGCAACTCACCTTCTGCTGCAAGCCCTGTGTGTAAAACAGCTGACACATGGCAATCTGCTGTGCTGCGTGAAGCAGCTGAGCTGGAAAACCCTGAAATAAAGCACAGACTAGACCTGAAGCAGGTGGGCAGGCCCAATAGCTGATTATTGGAGGGGCCAGTTTTCCCGAACTGGCCTGAACCAGTAGAATCCCAGCCCTATATATCAATATGTCTACACATAAATGGAAACAGATAAAAATCCAGCACTGTCTTTAATATACAAGGAAAGCATTATTCCACTGATATTTCCATGTACCCTAAATAAATAGTGTTGTATCTTCTGAGAATGGACTATGTCTGCCAATGAGAAAAAGCAGAAGGTGACTTTTTAAGGTTTTGCAATTGATCTTATGGAAATCTAGCTAGTTTCTTTCTAAAAAACATCAAGGTCAGATAGAAGTTGATAAGATGAGATCAGAAGATCCCACTTAATAATATATTTATTGTTTCCTACTGGAATGTGACAGTTCATTTTTCTAAGAAACAAGTTGTTACATATGGAAAGACCAGTTACTTGAGTTTGCTATTCTTGCTGTTCTACGCTCCCCTTTGGGTAGGACAATATATAAAACCTTACAGTTTAAGTCCATATTCCTCACAACAAGCCTTATGTTTCACAGTGCCTTGGGCTTTTGTAAAATGATCTGCAATGTTATTCTCTGACATGCAGTACTCCAGTATAATCATTTTACTTTGAACACATTGTCTCACGTTCAGATATTGTAGATCAGTGTGTTTTGATCTTGTCTTTACAGTGAGATTGGATGCCATCTGAATTGCTGATTGGTTGTCTTCATATACACCAATAGGTTCCTTTACATTAATTCCCATGTCTATCATTAGTTGTTTATAACAAACTAAATCCATACATAAAAGAGACAAACATGAGAATTCAGCCTCCATTGTTGATAAGCTTAGATGTTTTTGTTGAATAGACTGCCATCCAATTAACACCTTTCCTAATAACACTACAGTACCTGAAGTTGATTTACGTGTAGGTACGTCTGTAGCGAAACTTGCATCGGCATATGCAGTTAAACTTAGTTCATCCTTAGGCTCCAAATATAATGCATAATGCATCGTTTGTTTAAGATATCTCAATACACGCTTAGCAGCTTGCCGGTGCCTTTCAGTAGGCTCAGTATTAAACCTGGCTAATTGGTTGACACTATATGCTATGTCTGGCCTAGACCAATTACTAAGATAGGATAAGCTACCAATCAATGATTGATAAATGTCTTTATCAAAAACAGGACTTTGCACATCACTGTGGTTAAACTCATAGGCGTCTTAGCTGGCTTACAAAGTTCCATTTTAAAGTTCTTCAGTAACTGGTTAATTTTATCTGCCTGTGAAATTTTGTAGCCTCCCTTAGTTTTATCTATTTTCAAACCAAGTTACTGTTTAATTTCACCGAAATGTTTGATTGTAAATTTCTTCTCTAACAGTGAAATAATCCCAGCAGCTTCTTTCTCAGTCTTAGTGATTAATGCTATGTCATCAGTGAACAACAGCAACAATGAAATTACACCATCACTTTCCTTTTTGAATAAACATGGATCAGCCATGCCAGCTACAAAATCTATCTTTGTTAATCCCTTCACTATGCATTGGTTCCATTCATAGCCTGATTGTTTCAAGCCATATAGACTCTTTTTTAATCTCCAGCAATCAGTTTTGTTATCAGTTTTTATCACCAAAGGCTTCTTTAAATATATAGTATGTTGCAACAGTACATGAAGATATGCCATCTCCACATCTAAATGGTTTATTGTGTATTTATTTTTAGCTGCCCACACTAATGCTGCTTGTAATGTGGTAGCCTTCAGACTAGGTGCAAACACCTCATCGTAGTCATTGGCTGACTGATCAAACCCTTGTGCTACTAACCTGGCTTTATGGGTAACAGTCCCATCCACACCTGTCTTAATTTTATAAATCCACTTACACCCTATGGCATGCTCACCTGGTGGTAACCTGACATTTTCATATACCTCCAAACTTTGTAAGGATTT